CACTCACCTTGGCCTCCCAAAGTGCTGGGATGACAGGCTGAGCCACCGAGCCCGGCCAGGAATCAAGTACTTGAAGGTCAAGTCTGTGCCTGGAAGGCACCCGGCACAGGGTGCTGCATACATAGGTGCTCCCTGACTGTCAAGTGCTGTTACCATATCTGGAAAGGTGATATTGATTGGAAAGTAGCCTTGTAGGCTTTGAGGACAGGAGTAGGCCTAGCTTTTCTTTATCCTGTTTTTCGTTTGTTTTTTGAAATAGAGTCTCCCTCTGCTACCCAGGCTGGAGTGTAATCAGAGTTCACTGCAGCTGCGAACTCCTGGGTTCCAGTGATGCTCCCACCTCAGCTTCCGGAGTAGCTGGGACCACAGACGCTCATGCCCGGCTAAATTATTCATTTTTTGTAGAGATGGGGTTTCACTCTGTCGCCCAGGCTGGTCTCGAACTCCTGGTTTCAAGTGATCCTCCTGCTCGCTCAGCCTTCCGATTAGCTGGGGTTACAGGCATGAGCCACCGTGCTCAGACAAGCCTAACTTTTCTTAGGAACACGAAGGATGATACAGCAGAAGCCGCCACAGTGTGCCAGGCTTGTGCTGAGTTTCATGCATTATCTCAATCCTCACTGGCCCCGCAAAGCCCCACTTTACAGACTGGGCAAACTGAGGCTCAAAGACGCAAGTACTTGCCCATGATCCCTAGAGCCATGACAAGAGGAAACTCCGCCCCCAGTCCGCTGGGCTCACTAACCCTGCCCTTCCCCTCCCTGCTGGCCTCTCCCCAGGCTCTTGGGATCATGGGCCTCAGGCCCTGAGGACACAGGCTCCCTGTGGCCATGACGACGGGTGACTGCTGCCACCTTCCTGGCTCCCTGTGTGACTGCTCTGGCAGCCCTGCCTTCTCCAAGGTCCTGGAGGCCACGGGCCTCGGGCCACCCCAGTACGTGGCGCAGGTGACTTCGAGGGATGGCCGGCTCCTTTCAACTGTCATCCGGGCCTTGGATACACCGAGGTGAGTGGGGACTGGGTAGGTGTCTTGACCTTTGCTCCCTCTTCTGTCTGGGCCCAGTGATTTCCTCCCAGCCTGGGGTCAGAAGTCCAGCCATCTAGAGAGGTCAGGTGGGTAAATATACAAGGGAAAGGGCCCAGACAATAATCATCATGTGGAAACAGAGGGCAAGGCTGGCCAGGGCTGAGTCTTCAGAAAAAGCCATAATTTCAAGTTATCGTGCAAAATCTCAAGGTCAGTTGGCGGGTACCTCATACTTTGGGGAGGCAGCCTAGGGAGAGGCTAGGAATGGAGGCTGTGGACTCCTAGTGCCTGGGCTCTGGTCCTGCGTGGATGCCTCTCTTTCCTGGAGTGATCTGGGATAAGTTACTCCTGTCCTAGTATATCTTTTTTTTTTGAGTTGGAGTCTCACTCTGTCGCCCAGACTGGAGTGCAGTGGCCGCCCCTGGCCACCGCAGCCTTGACCTACTGGGCCCCAGCGATCCTTCCGCCTCAGCCTTCCGAGTAGCTGGAATTACAGGCATGCGCTACCACGCCTGGCTGATTTTTTGATTTACTGTAGAGTTGAGGTCTCGCTGCCCAGGCGGGTCTCGAACCTGTGGGCTCAGGCAATCCACTCACCTCAGCCTCCCAAAGGTACGGGATTACAGGCTGAGCCACCGAGCACGGCTATCTTTTTTTTTTTTAAGATGAAGTCTCACTCTGTCACCCAGACTGGAGTGCAGTGGCTCCATCACAGCTCACTGCAACCTCAAATTCTTGGGCTCAAGCAATCCTCCTGCCTTGGCCTCTCATCGTGCTGGGCTTACAGGTGTGAGCCATCACTCTGGGCCGACCCACCACTGTACCTCTGAAATGGGAACAACCTTCCTCACCGGTTGTTCTGAGAATGTGATGCCGTGGTCCACATGAAGTGCCTGCAAGGGAGTTCATTCAACACTCTGTAGGCTGTCCATAAATCTACTTCAAACTTGGCCCTGGCCTTCCAGACCCTTCTGTAAGCTGAATCTGCTTGGTTCCCCAACTTGTGATCAGTTCCAAGGAAAAGCGTTTTAAGGAAACCTCACCCACATTTAATCCATTTTAACTCACTTAGATTTAAAATAGCCACCTGCTTGGCTAGGGAAGTGAGTTGTTTTTCTTTTCAGTGTTTCAAATTTTACAAATTATCGTTAAGTTTATTTATTTATTTTTGAATTGCAGTCTCACTCCGTCGCCCAGTCTGGAGTGCAGTGGCATGATCACGGCCACCGCAGCCTCGACCTGCTGGGCTCAGGCTATCCTTCCACCTCAGCCTTCCAAGTAGCTGGAACTACAGTCACGTGACACCACGCCTGGCTAATTTTTTGATTTATTGTAGAGACATGGTCTTGCCAAGTTGTCCAGGCTAGTCTAGAACCCCTGGACTCAGGCAATCCTTTCACCTCGGCCTCCCAAAGTTCTGGGATTACAGGCTTGAGCCACCACACCCAGCTGTTAAGTTTATCTGGTACAATTTAATTCATAAACTTTTCTCCCCCAAATTTTGGAAATTGTGATAAAATATACATTACATAAAATGTACCATCTTAACCACTAGATGTACAGTTTAGGGTCATCAAGTACAGTCACATGGTTGTACAACCATCACCACCATCATCTTCAGAACTTGCTTCTCTTCACAAATGAAATCTCTGTCCCCATGAAATGCTTATTCCCCATGCCCTTCCCAGCTCCTGGCACCCCCGCATGCTACTTTGTCTCTCTGTGAACTTGACGACTCCACGGGCCTCCTAAGAATGGGATCTCATGGGATATGTCCTTTTGTGTCCGGCTTGTTTCTTAGTATGATGTTCTCAAGGTCTATCCATGATGTAGCAAATGTCAGAATTAATTAAATATATATGTATATTTTCAGTTGGGGTCTCACTCTGTCACCCAGGCTAGAGTGCAGTGGCACGATCACAACTCACCACAACCTCAACTTCCTAGACTCAGGTGATCCTTCTGCCTCAGCCTCTCAAGTAGCTGGGACTACAGGCGCCCGCCACCACGTCCAGCTGATTTTTTTATTTTTACTTTTTTGTAGAGACAGGTCTCACTATGTTGCCCAGGCTGGTCTTGAATTCCTGGGCTCAAGCAATCTTCCCACATCCACTTCCCAAAGTGCTGGGATTACAGGTGTGAGTTGCTGTGCCTGGCCTGAATTTTTTTTATTTAAAAATAAAATCATAGGCTGGGCATGGTGGCTCACGCCTATAATCCCAGCAAGAGGAGGCAAGAGGAGTGCCTGAGCCCAGGGGTTCAAGACTAGCCCGGGCAACTTAGCAAGACCTCCTCTGTACAATAAATAAAAAAATTAAGTTGTGCTCAGTGACTCGGCCTGTAATCCTGTGCTTTGGGAGGCTGAGGTGAGTGGATTGCCTGAGCTCATGGGTTCGAGACCCACCTGGGCAACTTGGCGAGACCTCATCTCTACAATAAATCAAAAAATTAGCCGAGCGTGGTAGCGCGTGCCTGTAGTCCCAGCTACTTGGAAGGCTGAGGCTGAAGGATCGCCAGAGCCCAGCAGATCAAGGCTGTGGTGGCCGGGAGCGTGCCACTGCACTCCAGTCTGGGTAACAGAGTGAGACTCCAACTAAAAAAAAAAAAAAAAAATGTAGCCAGCTGTGGTGGTGTGCATTTGTAGTCCCATCTTCTCAGGGAGCTTAGGTGGAAGGATCACCTGTGCCCAGTAGGTCATGGCTGTGGTAGCCACAATCGTGCCACTGCACTCCAGTCTGGGCAACAGAGTGAGACCCTGACTCAAAAAATAAATAAAGAATTAAAATTTAAAAACAAACAAAAAAATAAAAATAAGTAGACGGAAGCCCTGAGGCCCTCTGGAGAGCAGCCTGCTGCTCGCTATCTCAGTCTTTGCCTGGTGTCACTTTCTCCAGGAAGCCTTCCTGGACCCAGATCAGGTTGGATATGTTCCTTCTGGGCATACTGCAGGGTGCTGGCGTGGACATCCCCAGCTCCATCAGACCCCTTTGGAGGCAGAGAGGGATCTGAGCTGGTAGAGCCCGGCCCAGAGTAGGGGGACCCTTGGTGGGCTCAGAGGCTTCCCAGCCAGGACTGCCGGGGCAAGGTGTGGGGCAGGGGTTGACTGTAGCTGGAGTCTCCTTGCCTGGGAGGCCTGAGGAGCAAGGCCCAGACAGAGCGAGTGGACCCCACCTTGCCTCTCCCTTCCTTCTTACATCTGGGGAAAACTGACATTTACCAAGGTCCCACCCACCTCTGCCACGCCCTCAGATGGGTGAGGACAGTAGCGCAGCCCCTCTGGATTGACTGTTCCCTCTCCCGTCATGGCCAATGGCAGCCGCTTATCAGGGACCTTTTCTTGGGTCCAGCCCAACCAAGGTACCGCAGGTGGCCAAGACAGCCAGGCACCTTGAGCCCAGAGAACCCTTCTGGACCTATTCCTCGGCCTCTTAGCCGGCGCCTCCTGCTGAAGGAGCTCGGTGACCTGAGGGTCTTGTTTCTTGTTCTCCCCTCTGCCTTTGCTTTTTAATTTAATTTTAAGTTTTTTTTGTGTGTGTGTGTGTTGGAGTCTCACTCTGTTGCCCAGGCTGGAATGCAGTGACACGCCCACAGCCACTGTAGGCTCAGGCGATCCTTCCTCTTCAGCCTTCCAGAGAGCTGGAACTACAGGCACGTGCCACCATGACCGGCTGATTTTTTGATTTATTGTAGAGATGAGGTCTCGCCAAGTTGCCCAGGCTGGTCTCGAACCTCTGGTCTCAGGCAATCTTCTCCCCTCGGCCTCCGAAAGTGCTGGGATTACAGGCTTGAGCAACTGTGCCTGGCCTAAGTTTTTTTTTTTTTTGAGTCAGTGTCTCTGTCATGCAGGCTGGTATATGTGGTGTGATCATAGCTCACTGCAGTCTCAAACTTCTGGGTGCAAGGGATCCTCCCACCTCAGCCTCCTGAGTAGCTGGGACTATAGGTGCATGCCATCACGCCCGGCTAATTATTTTGTAGACACAAGGTTTTGCTATGTTGCCCCGGCTGGTCTTGAACTTCTGGGCTCAAGCATCCTTCTGCCTTGGACTCCCAAAGCGCTGGATTTACAGGTGTGAGCCACCATGCCCGGCCTCCCCCCTATCTTTGGATGCAACTCAACCCAAACCTTCCCAGGCTAGAGGCCACATAAAAACAGTCCTTCACAAAGAGAATGCGGGTTTGTCCAAAGGGCAACATCCAGACTTGTGGCCTTCCTTCCAGTCTCCCGGCCAGTCTGTCCAAGAATAAATGGAAATCCTTCCTCCCGCTGCCTCTGGGAGGTGCCGGCCTTGGCTGAGGCCACACACAGCAGGTCACTGGGGTCCCCTTCTGGCCCTGTAACACCTCCTTCTAGTAAGCCTCTGCCATCCAAGAGCCAAAGTGGGACTCAAGATGTCACATCAGCACCCTGGCTGGTTCCATGATCAAAAAGATCAAACCTTCCATTTGCCTCCATGGTGACCCTGATTCCTGGGGGCATGTGGTTGCAATGTTGGCAGGGACTAGGCAGGCAGAGACTTCTAGACTCTGAAACCCACAGAGGTCAACGAGGGAGGCCCAGGAGCCACCTCCAGGGCCCAGAACAGTCCACAAAGGCTCAGACTCTGCCCTGCAGGCTGGGAGCGAACCCAGCCCCTTTTGGGAGCTATCCTGAACATCTCTGCATCCTGGCCTTCCACCTGGCCTCCCTCCCACTATCCTTTCCCTGGGGCCTCCGTTTCTTTATTTACTCTCTCCCCATTTCCTTCACATCTATGTCTTTTGCATTCTTTCCCTGCCGGAGTTTCGCAAGCAAAGCCCTTTTCTCCTGTGCATCATTTGAGGGAGGTGGTGTGGCATAGCGTGACCGCCAAGGGTGCTTCAGTCCTGGATCAGGACTTCCCTGGTTCCAGTTCCAGCTTCTTGGACTCTGAGCTGTGTTAGTTTGCACTAATGAGTGAACTCTTCCATGCTTCCATTTCTCCAGCTGTAAAATGAGGGCAAAAATAGCACCTCTGCCTGGGCCTGGTGGCTCAAGTCTGTAATCCCAGCACTTTGGGAGGCTGAGGTGAGAGTATTGCCTGAGCCCATGGGTTTGAGACCAGCCTGGATGACTTGGTGAGACCTCGTATCTACAATAAATTAAAAAATTAGCCGGGTGTGGTGCCACACACCTGTAGTTCCAGTTACTTGGAAGGCCGAGGCGGAAGGATTGCCGGAGCCCAGTGGGTCGATGCTGGGGTGGCCATGAGCGTGCCACTGCACTCCAGCCTGGGCGATGGAGTGAGACTCCAAATCAAAAAAAAAAAAAAAAAAAAAAAAAAATAGCACCTTCTGCTGGGTGTGGTAGCTCTCACCTATAATCCCAGCACTTTGGGAGGTTGATGAGGGAGGATCACTTGAGGCCAGGAGCTTGAGAACAGCCTGGGCAACATAGCAAGACCCCATAAATACAATTTTTAAAAAATGTTTTTTTTGAGTCATGGTCTCACCCTGTCACTCAGGCTGAGTGCAATGGCATGATCACAGCTTACCATAGCTTCTACCTCCTGGGCTCAGGTGACCCTCTCACAATCTCCTGTGTAGCTGGGATTACAGGTGCACACCACCATGACCTGGCTAATTTTTTTATTTTTTGTAGAGACGAAATCTCACTATGTTGCCTGGGCTGGTCTCGAACTCCTGGCCTCAAGCAGTTCTCCTACCTCAGCCTCTCTAAGTGCTGGGATTACAGGTGTGAGCCACCGCACCTGGCTCGGGATTACAGGTGTGAGCCACCGCACCTGGCCCATACAATAAAAATTTAGAAAAATAGCACCTTTCTCACAGGCTCATTATGAGAATGAGAGAAATCCATCCAGATGCTACTCTTTGAAACTGCCTGGTCCATAGTGAGTGCTCAAGCAATACTCAATCAATACTAAATTTTGGTTTTTTTTTTTAAATTTTCTCTGAACTTGCTCTTCCAGAGTCTTTCTGGGTTTCCAGAACAAGCTCCAAACGGACACAGCTCTTCCTCAAGAGCTTCCTCTGGTCATTTCCATTTCCGAGTTGCTTCCTGGATCAGAGATTCCTTTTCTGTTAATGTTTTTTTGTTTTTTTTTTTTTGGTGTGTGTGTTGAGGGGGAGGGTGGATCAGGGTTTGGAACTGGAAAGGAGCCTGGTCAGCCATGCCCTTTTACCATTGTAGGAGAAAATACCACCCAGGGACAGGACTGCAAGAAGGCAGAATGAGCAACCTGTTGGGCTCTTTTTACTTTCTTCTTTTTATTTTTTTGAGTCGTGGTCTCACTCTGTCGCCCAGGCTAGAATGCAGTGGCACAATCATGGCTCACCACAGCCTCGACCTCCCGCCTCAGTCTCCCGAGTAGCTGGAACTAGAGTTGCAAGCCACAAACCCCAGCTAATTTTTTTTTCTTTTCTTCTTCTTCTTCTTTTTTTTATAGTTTGGGAATATCATTTACTTACAAAGTAAATTAGAAAGAGGGAGAAAAGTCACCTCCCTAAGGTAAGGAAGGGAGCCAAAGGTTAGGAAAACATGATGGCCATTGCTCAAAGAGCTACATGGCCAGACCAGAGCTTAGCAAAACAATGGTCCTAATTTATTCTTTTGATTTTTTTGTCTCACTGTGTTGCCCAGGCTGGTCTCTAACTCCTGGGCTCAAGCACCTAGACCTCCCAAAGCGCTGGGATTTCAGGCGTGAACCACTGCACCCGACCTGTTGGGCCCTTTTTAAAGCAGCCAGGCCCCACCCTGCAAGAGGAGAGTCTGAGAAAAGGAGAGAAAACAATAATTTCCAAGGGGAAACTGGTGTTATCTGAAAAAGAGCTCTTTGTGTGTCTCTGAAGTCTGATTTCTGGGCAGAAATGTTTGGAAAACAATGACTCATGTGGTGGGCAATCTCTGGACCCATAAGGCCACACCCCCTGCCTCCTGAGCTGCCCTGGGAAGGACCGGCATCCCCAGAGACTGGGCTGGGGCTGGAGACTTTTCCCACGGCCATGTTCTGGGGACAGGATGCTTTTTTTTTTTTTAGTTGGAGTCTCATGCTGTTGCCCAGGCTAGAGTGCAGTGGCATACTCATGGCCACCCCAGTGTCGACCTGCTGGGCTCAGACGATCCTTCCATGTCAGCCTTTCAAGTAGCTAGAACTACACACACGTGCTACCACGCCTGGCTAATTTTTTATTTATTATAGAGACGAGGTCTCACCAAGTTGCCCAGGCTGGTCTCGAACCTGCGGGTTTAGGCAATCCATTCGCCTCGATCTCCCAAAGCGCCAGGATTACAGGCTGAACCACTGAGCCCGGCCATTTTTTTTTTTTTTTTGAGTCGGAGTCTCACTCTATCACCCAGGCTGAAGTGCAGTGGCCTGCTCACTGCCATTGCAGCCTCGACCTGCTGGGCTCAGGTGATCCAGGTAGCTGGAACCACGGGCATGCCTCAGCCTTCCAAGTAGCTGGAACCACAGGTATGCACCACCATGCCCAGCTAATTTTTTTGATTTATTGTAGAGATGAGGTTTCATCATATTGCTCAGACTGGTCTCAAACTCCTGAGTTCAGGCAATCCTCTTGTCTCTGCCTCCCAAAGTGCTGGGATATAGGCATGAGCCACTGTGTCTGGCAGGGGGATGCTTATGTCTGTTTCTCCTTCACGAGAGCAGAGAAGCAGGTAAGCCATTCTGTCTGGACACATGGGTTTCTCCAGCAGTGTGGCCTTCAGGTGTGGCTAGATCCAGGGCCTCTGTTGATGCCTTGGGAATCCACCTTTTCCTGTCTCTCAGCTCTGCTTTCCTCTGTGTTGGCATCATTCTCAGGCTCCATGTGGAGACTAGGCAACTGTGAGCGGCCCTAGGCTTATGTCAGCCTTGCTACATAAGCAAGGAGCTTAAGGGGAAAAAAGAATTCCAGCAACTAATTCTCAGGGGTTCTGACATTGTCGCACAAGCCCTTTCCTGAGCCAGTCCCCGTGACCAGGGCTGTGTGGTGTTCTGATTGTTCAGGTCTGAGGTCATGAGGGGTGTTAGCTCTGCCCTTGTTCTTAAGGACCAAGGGCTAAGAGTAGGGTAGTTTGGCCAGGCATGATGGCTCATGCCTGTAGTCCTAGCACTTTGGGAGGCTGAGGCAGGAGGATCGCTTGAACCCAGGAATTTGAGACCAGCCTGGGCAATGTAGCGAGGCCTCATCTCTACAAAAATTAAAAAAAAAAAAAATGCTGGACTCGGTGGCTCAGCCTGTAATCCCAGCACTTTGGGAGGCCGCGAGACAAGTGGATTGCCTGAACCCGTGGGTTCGAGACCAGCCCGGGCAACTTGGCGAGATCTTGCCTCTACAAATAGCCAGGTGTGGTAGCGCACACTTATAGTTCCAGCTTTTTGGAAGGCTGAGGTGGAAGATCACCTAAGCCCAGCAGGTTGATGCTAGGGTGGCTGTGAGCGTGCCACTGCACTCCAGCCTGGGCGACGGAGTGACTCCAACTCAAAAAAAAAAACAAAAAAAGTTAAAAAAATAAAAAAAAAATTAGGCCGGGCTCAGTGGCTCAGCCTGTCATCCCGCGCCTTTGGGAGGCTGAGGTGAGTGGATGGCCTGAGCCCACGGGTTCGAGACCCGCCTGGGCAGGCGAGACCTCATCTCTACAATAAATCAAAAAAATCAGCCGGGCGTGGTAGCGCGTGCCTGTAATTCCAGCTACTCGGAAGGCTGAGACGAAAGGATCGCTGGAGCCCAGCAGGTCGAGGCTGTGGTGGCTGGGAGCGGCCACTGCACCCCAGTCTGGGCGACAGTGAGACTCCAACTCAAAAAAAAAATAAAATATAAATAAATAAATAAATAAATAAAATTAGCTGGGCATCATGGCACACACCTGTAGTCCTAGCTACTCGGGAGGCTGAGGTGAGTCATGATGATGCCAATTCACTGCAGCCTGGGTGACAGAGTGAGACCCTGACTCAAAAAAAAGAAAAGGAAAGAAAAAAAAAAGAGTGGGGTAGTTAGTTACCAAGGAGAATTAAGGTAGTATTTTAGGAAAATTTGGTGAGGACGTTTTGGGGGCAAGTATGAGGAAGAGAGCACATCACTATACCTGTGGGAGTCTGGGAAGTCTTCCCAAAGGAGAGGACATTTGAAGGTGGGCATTGAAGGGTAAGTAGGAGCTCACCAAGTGGCAGCATGGGGCCAACAGTGAGCTTGTGCTCCAGTGGATAGTGAAGTAGGTGTAGATCGGAAGCCTGGTCATTGTTCATGGGTCTATCTCTGTGTCCAGTGATGGTCCTTTCTGCCGGATCTGCCATGAGGGAGCGAATGGGGAGAGCTTGCTGTCCCCGTGTGGCTGCACTGGCACACTGGGCGCCGTGCACAAGAGCTGTCTGGAGAGGTGGCTGTCTTCGTCCAACACCAGCTACTGTGAACTGTGCCACACGGAGTTTGCAGTGGAGAAGCGGCCCCGGCCCCTCACAGAGGTACCTGTGGGCGTCTGAGATCAGGCCCGAGCCAGAAGGCGGGGTTGCCCTGAGGGACTCCGGGGAACAGGCAGGCAGCTTCTCCATAGGCTGCCCTCCCCACAGCCAGGGTAGATTCTGCTGACCCGGGCAGGGGGCCCAGCCTGGAGTTCTACCCACCAAACCTGCTACCCCATCCCTGCACTGACTCACTTTCTCACCAGCACATCTTTCTTGAGCATGTGCACTGGGCCCAGCATTCTGTTAGGCACTGGGGACCCAGCCACCAACAAGACACATATGGCCGACGTCAATCAATGGAGCAGCTGGTTGCTGGGAGCAGCAGTGCTACAAGGAAAATGTTGGGGGCGGGGCATGAATGAGGCAACCACTTGGGTCAGGCGAGGCCTCCGCAGGAGGTGAACCCCCAAGCTGAGGCTGAAGGGATGCAAAGAGCCCGGAAGGGCCATCCTGGCAGAGGACATAGCAGGTGCAAAGGCCCTGGAGCAGAAAAGCTTGGTGTTCTTGGTAAAGCCTGAGTGGGTGGTGGTGGCAGCGGCCTCAGCAGCCTTTGTGGGCCACATCCAGGAGCTTAGACTTAGCCTGAGTGTGGGGAACTGGCACCGAGACAGGGCATTTCCAGGCATGGGGGGTGCCCTCCCTGCCACCCTCGGGGGCGCGATGGGTGTCTCCCTTGGAGGCCACCGGTCTCCTCTCACCCCAGCCTGGTGTGGGGCAGCTGGGGAACTGCAGGGTGGGTGTCACCGGGCTGAAGTGTGACAGGCAGAGTCCAGCCCTGAGGCCACAGAGCAGTCAGGGTCACCATCCAGAGCCCCAGAGAAGCCCCTGGCCCTCCTGGGAGCCAGGCTCTCGCAAGAGTGGTGACAGGGCGATCCAGCCCCAGCCTGCCCGCCTCGCGCTCTGCCCTCCGTCTTCATGCCCCCCCCATGCCTGGTCTAGGCTGCACACTCCCACCTCAAGGCCTTGTTGCATCTGTGGTTCCCGCAGCCTGGAGTGCGGTCTCCCCCACTCTTCATGGGGTTTGCGGGTCTCATCCCTGAGAGGGGGTGGTGGGGGAGGGGTTTGGTCCCACCCATCAGAATGTCCGCTCGTCTGGGGGCGGCCCACCGTAGTAGCATGTCAGCCCAGGGGACTCAGGCCCTGAAGTGAGACCTCCGGGGTTCCAGTCTGGGCTCTGTGGATCACCTAGCCGTGTGAGTTCACCCCCCCGTGCCTCAGTTTCCCCATCTGCATCCTGGGCGCGGGCCCGCCCAGCGTCTCATTGAAGGCTCAGTAAGTGTTGGAGCAGCCCCCCTTCCCCCATCCCCTCTCCGTGCAGTGGCTGAAGGACCCCGGGCCGCGGACAGAGAAGCGGACGCTGTGCTGCGACATGGTGTGCTTCCTGTTCATCACGCCACTGGCCGCCATCTCAGGCTGGCTGTGCCTGCGCGGGGCCCAGGACCACCTCCGGCTACACAGCCGGCTCGAAGCCGTGGGGCTCATCGCCCTCACGATCGCCCTCTTCACCATCTACGTCCTCTGGACGCTGGTGAGTGGCTGCGGCCGCAGGGCGGGCGTCCGGGGCCCTCCCCCCCCGGGAGCAGCCGGGCGGGGGTCCGGCCCGTGATTTGGGTTGGGGTCCCCTGGCTGCCTCTGCGTCTGGCCCCCGAGTTCACCCCGCGTTGTGGGGAGCTTCAGATTCTGAGCCAGGTGTGAGCCTTGTCCTGAGTGCAGGATCCCTCATCCAAGAGCCCCCAAGATGAGGGGTTGGGGCGGGGGGGAGACTGGGAGAGAGAAATTGTGGAGGAGAAGGAGGAGCCAAGCCCCCAGGACTGAGTGAGGGAGAGCCGGAGAGATCGACACAGAGATACGGAGACGGACACTAGATTCCTTGCCCAAGGCTGGGGAGGTGGCTGGTGCAGTCCCAGCTACTCAGGAGGCCAGCTATGAGAGGGCCACGACATGCCAGCCTGGGAGACAGCCAGACCTTGTCTTTATTTAATTTATTTATTTTTATTTTTTATTTTGGGGTTGGAGTCTCACTGTCACCCAGGCTAGAGTGCGGTGGCATGCTCATGGCCACCGCAGCCTTGACCTGCTGGGCTCAGAAGATCCTTCTGCCTCAGTCTTCCAAGTAGCTGGGACTACAAACATGCACTACCCCGCCCGGCTAATTTTTTAGAACTTATTGTGGAGATAAGGCTCGCCAAGTTGCCCAGGATGGTCTCGAACCCCTGGGCTCGGGCAGTCCTCTCACTTCGGCCTCCCAAAGTGCTGGGATTACAGGCTTGAGTCACCATGCCCGGCCTATTTTATTTTGTTTCTCTTAGACCCTGTCTTTAAAAAAAAACAAAACAAAACTGGAGGCAGTGGCTCGTGCCTGTAATCCCAGCACTTTGAGAAGTCAAGGCAGGAGAACTGCTTGAGCCTGGGAGCTCCAGACCAGCCTGGGCAACATAACTAGACCTGGTCAAAAGATCAAAAAAATCAAAAAAAGATCAAAAAAATTAGCCAGGCATGGTGGTGCATGCCTGTAGTCCCAGCTATTCGGGAAGTTGAGGTGGAAAGATTGTCTGAGCCCAAGAGGTCAAGGCTGCTGAGAGCCATGATTGTGCCACTGCACTTCAGCCTGGGCTACAGAGTGAGACGTTGACTTAAAAAAAAAATACAGAAGGAAAGGAAAAAACAAAAAAGAGCCCTTGCTCAGAGAGATAAAGCATCCTCCCATCTCACCTCTCAGATATAACCACCGTTGACTGCTGTGGGGGTGTCCCCTCCTCAATAAGTAGTTTCCAAGCATCTGCCAGCATTTATAACAAATAAAAATAGGGTGAAGTCATAGCTACTGTTTTGCCATCTGCTTGTTTTCACTTTGCTGGTATCCTTTAAAAAACCAATAAGGCAGCACCAGCAGACAGTCATTGTATGTGTGTACCATATTTATTTAACCCACCCCTCTTGACAGACACTGGGATTCTTTCCAATACATTTTTTTCCCTTCTTTTTTTTTCTGTTATGAACAGTGTTTTGGGCCCTGCCTGCGCAAATGTTTCTTAAGAACTTGCTTGAGCCGGGCACGGTGGCTCATGCCGGTAATCCCAGCACTTTGGGAGGCAGAGGTAAGAGGATTGCCTGAGTCCACAGGTTCAAGACCAGCCTGGGCAACTTGGTGAGACCTCATCTCTACAATAAGTTTTTAAAAAATTAGCCAGGCGTGGAGGTGCACGCCTGTGGTTCCAGCTACTTGGAAGGCTGAGGCGGAAGGATTGCCTGAGCCCAGCAGCTAGAGGCTGTGGTAGCTGTGAGTGTGCCACTGCACTCCAGCCTGGGAGACAGCAGGGACTCTGACTCAAAAAAAAAAAAAAAAAAGAACTTGCTTGGTCAAAAGATATGAATAATTGACATTTATTTAAAAAAAATTTTGTTCTGCCTGGCTAATTTTTTTGATTTTTTTGTAGAGATGGGGTCTTGCTATGTTGCCCAGGCTGGTCTCAAACTCCCAGGCTTAAGCGATCCTTCCACCTCAGCCTCCCAAAGTGCTGGGATTACAGGCATGAGCCACCGTGCTTGATCCTATTTTTAAATTTTTTTAAGGGACTATTCTTTAGAGCAGTTTTAGATTCATGGTAAAATTGAGAAGAAAGTACAGAGAGTTCCTATATAACATCCCCAACACACATGCACCCTCTTCAGATCAATTGCCATTACCAGAGGGGTACATTTGTTATAATAAATGAAATTTTATAGACACATCCTTATCTCCCAAGTTCAAGTTCACATGAGGGCTCATTCTTGGGGTTGTACATTCTATAGGTTTGGACAGATATATAATGACATGTATCTTATTATAGTACTGTATCATACAAAGTAGTTTCATTGCCCTAAAAATCCTCTGTGCTGCCTGGTGCAGTGGCTCAGGCCTATAATCCCAGTACTTTAGGAGGCCAAGGCAAGAGGCAATTGCCTGAGCTCAGGGGTTCAAGATCAGTCTGAACAACTTGGCGAGACCTTGTCTCTACAATAAAATAAAATAAAAAAATAGCCAGTAGGGTGGCGCATGCCTGTGATTCCAGCTACTTGGAAGGCTGAGGCAGAAGGATCACCTGAGCCTAGCAGGTTGAGGCTATGGTGGCCATGAGTGTGTCAGCCTGGGGAACAGAGTGCAACTCTGACTAAAATAATAACAATACTACTACTACTAATAATAATTCTCTGTGTTTCACCTATTTCTCCCTCCTTCTCTCCTTCTCCCAGCCCCTAGAAAGCACTGGCCTTTTACTGTTGGTGGTTTTGCCTTTTTCAGAGTGTCTTATAGTTGGATTCAGAGAGTATGTAGCCTTTTCAGACTGGCTTCTATCACTTAGTAATATGTGTTTAAGGTGTCTCCTTGTCCTTTGTTTGGTTTGTTTGTTTTTGAGACAGGGTCTTGCTATGTTGCCCAGGCTAATCTCATGCTCTTGGGCTTAAGTGAGCCCCCTGTCTCAACCTCCCAAGTAGTTGGGATTACAGGCATGAGCCACTGCACCTGACCTTCCACATCTTTCCATGGCTTGAGAGCTCATTTCATTCCTTTTTTTTTTTTTTTTTTTTTTGAGACAGAGTCTGGCTCTGTCACCCAGGCTGGAGTGCAGTGGTGTGACCATAGCTCACTGCTGCCTTGAACTCCTGGGCTCAAGCCAGCCTCCCACCTCAGCCTCCTGCCTCAGCCTTCTGAGTAGCCGGGACCACGCCCAGCTAATTTTCTTTTTTGTTGTTGTTGTTGAGATGAGGTCTTGCTGTGTTGCCTAAGCTGGTCTCCAGCTCCTGGACTCCTCCTGCCCCAGCCTCCCTAAGTGCTGGGATTACAGGGATGGCCCTAGAGCTCATTGGTTTTTAGTGCTGAATAATAGTCCACTGTTTGCACCACTATTTATAAATTCACCTAGTGAGGGAGTCTTGGTGGCTTCCAAGTTTTGGTAGTTGTGTGCCTGATTGACATTGACTCCCTTCCAAGAGGCTGTATCCCTCCCTTCCCACCAAGGAGCAGAAAAGGAGTCCCTTGCTCCCCGTGGGGTGGGGGCCCTCATCTTGTAGTACTCTGAAGGATGGTGGGGCGTGTCTCCTTTTCGGGTGTGAGAAATGCCTAGATGCGGCTCTGCTTCTGGAAGCCCTGGTTGAACCAGTGCGGGTGCCATGGGGGCCCACGTGCCTTCCTGGGGGCGGAGGCCTTCTGGGCCTGCCCGCTCACAGCAAGACTTCCTGCAGGTCTCCTTCCGCTACCATTGCCAGCTGTACTCCGAGTGGAGGAGGACCAACCAGAAAGTACGCCTGAAGATCCGGGGAGCAGACGGCTCCGAGGGGCGCCCGCACTCTCCAATGGCAGCTGGACTCCTGAAGAAGGTGGCAGAGGAGACGCCAGTATGAAGGCTGGGCCGCCAGGGCTCTGCCTCCGAGAGGCCAGAGGTAGCCGGCATGCCCTGGCATTCGGAAGGACGGAAGCTCCCTGATGCTTCCCACACAGCCAGATGCTTCTCAGGCCAAGGGAGTCATGCGAAGCCTGTGACCCTGCGTGAAGATATTTTCCGTTTTTTTTTTTTGCACACTGTTGGACATGACAAGGACAGATGGACATGGTCCTGAGCTTCACACAGAGCAGGCACCCTGATCTCATTCTGAGGTCCACTTGGCATCTTCTGGGCTGGCCGCTGTGGCCAGGGTGTCAAGGGTGCCCTTTGGGCTGGAAGGTTCCAGCAAGCTTCTCGCGCTTCTCTGCACCTGGCAGGCTTGCTTTCCGGCACCCTCAACTTTGTAAAGTTGCACTGCGTTTCAAAAGCCCACCCCGAATGAATAAAAGGAGCTCTTGCTGGACAAAATGAACTTGTCAGTTAATGTTTCTGAACTGAGGCCTCAGAGGGAGGGACCATTCAGAGGTTTAAAAAAAACACTTAGGATGTCTGTTTTGAGGGATGTGTTATAACACCCACAGGGAGAAGCAAAGTCTGAGTTTCCAAGGAAGGAGCAGGTAGCAGGGTTATATAAGGAATGATTTTTAAAGTAAATAAGTACAGTGATCGCCGAGTGCAGTGGCTCATGCCTGTAATCTCAGCACTTTGGGAGGCGGAGGCGAGAGAATTGCCTGAGCCCAGGGGTTTGAGACCAGGCTGGGCAATTTGGCGAGACCTCGTCTCTGCAGTAAATCAAGGAAAATTACTCAGATGTGGTGGTGCACGCCTGTAGTTCCAGCTACTTAGAAGGTTGAGGTGGAAGGTTTGCCTGAGTCCAGCAGGTCGAGGCTGCAGTGGCCATGAGCCTGCCACTGCCACTGCATTCCAGCCTGGGTGACAGAGTGAGACTCCAACTAAAAAACAACAACAACAACAAAAACCAATTTCTACTTTGCATCTACCACAGGCCAGATCACTGATAACTAATGGTGACAAGGTCCACACTCATGAAAGGTCACTATGAATAAAGGTCAGTTTTGAGTCTTCACAGGTATCCTCCCCTCCTCTGACTCTTGCTACCACCCTTGGGGGGAAGGAGTGGTTATCACTTTCATTTTACAGGTGAGAAGACTGAGACCCAGGGCAGTGAAGCCTTTGTCTAAGATAGAAGGCTGTAGAAAGTACAGTTGGGATGACCCCAGGTCTGCACTGCCCCAGTGCTGAGGTTTGTGGCCCACCTTCCAGGAAGACTCAGGTGCAGGATATGGTCATACTAATAACAGCGCCGACTTCCTGAGTGCTTTCTGTGTGCCTGAGCTTTTCATATGTAAGAGCTCTTGGCCACCCTCAAAGGTGAGTTCTGGGTTTGTTTCTGTCTTTGTTTTGTTTTTTGAGTCAGAGTCTCACTCTGTCGCCCAGGCTGAAGCCAATGGCATGCTCATAGCCACTGCAGCCTCAACCTGCTGAGCTCAGGTGATCCTTCCACCTCAGCCTTACGAGTAGCTGGAACTGGCCGGGCTTGGTGGCTCAAGTCTGTAGTCCCAGCACTTTGAGAGGCTGAGGCGAGTGAGTGGGTTGCCTGAGCCTGTAGGTTCGAGACCTGCCCAGGCAACTTGGTGAGACCTCATCTCTACAATAAATAAAAAATTAACCAGGTGTGGTAGCATACACCTGTAGTTCCAGCTACTTGGAAGGCTGAGGCAGAAGGATCGCTGAAGTCCAGCAGGTAACGCTGGGGTGGCCGTGAGTGTGCCATTGCACTTCGGCCTGGGTGATGGAGTGAGACTGCAACTCAAAAAAAGAAAAAAGAAAAAAACAAAAAACTCAAGTAGCTGGAACTACAGGCATGTGCCACCATGCCTAGCTAATTTTTCTTGATTTATTGTAGAGACGAGATCTCGCCAAGTTGCCCAGGCTGGTCTTGAACCCCTGAGTTCAGGCAGTCCTCTTGCTTCGGCCTCCCAGAGTGCTGGGGTTACAGGCATGAGCCACTGCGCCTGGCCTGAGGGTTTCTTATTAAACAGATTTGTAGCTGAGCAAACTGAGGCTCAGAGCAGGGGGATCACTCACTCAAGGTCTGTTTTCTGCATGAATCCCTGCCTGGTATGTAGAGCAAGAAAAGCAAGAAAATCTCTTTCTGCCCTGACTGCAAGGCTGAAGGGAAGCCAGTGTGGCTGTGAGAGTGGAGGTAACAGCAAAGCAGAAAGGCCCAGAGGCCAGAACCTGCTTGGCTGGTAGGAAGAGAATCAAGAAGGACCATGTGGCTGGAGCAGAGTCTGAGGGGCGGGAGGTCAGAGAGGTGGGCAGGGCCTCGTAGGCACTGGGTGACTGATGGTCTGCAGAAGCGCATGGTCACACCCAAGCACATCGCTCTGCTGCCCCTTGGAGTCTGGCACCTATCTCTCCCCAATCCAACTCTGAATCGTGGTGCCCTTGGAGATGATGTACAGATGATCCAGAATGCCACCATGAGAGGAGAAGACCGATTCCTCTGCAAATCTATTCTTCATCTTTTTCTTTTTTTTTTTTTTTGAGTCGGAGTCTCACTCAGTTGCCCAGTCTGGAGTGCTGTGGCACACTCACGACCCCAGCGTCGACCTGCTAGGCTCTGGAGTTCCTTCCGTCTCAGCCTTCCGAGTAGCCTGAGTAGCCGGAACTACAGGTGTGCACTACCATGCCCGGCTAATTTTTGATTGATTGTAGAAATGAGGTCTCACCAAGTTGCCCGGACTGGTCTCAAACCCGCGGGCTCAAGCTATCCACTTGCCTGGGCCTCCCAAAGTGCTGAGATTACAGGCTTAGCCACCGAGACCAGTGCTTCTTTTTTTTTTTTTTTAAGACAAGTCTTTTTTGTTTTGTTTTTGTTTTTTGAGTCGAGGTCTCACTCTGTTGCCCAGGCTCACAGCTACCACAGCCTCTATCTGATGGGTTCAAGAGATCCTTTGGCCTCAGCCTCCTGAGTAGCTGGGACTATAGGCGCGTGCTGTCACACCTGGCTATTTACTTTATTGTAGAGACAAGCTCTCAGTATGTTGCCCAGGCTAGTCTGGAACTCCTGGGCTCAGGCAATCCTCTTTCCTCTTGCTTGTCTCCCAAAGTGTTAGGATTACAGGTGTGAGCCACTGCGCCCAGCGCGCCCCCCCTTTTAACCTTGAGTCGAGGTCTCACTCTATCACCCAGGCTGGAGTGCAGTGGCACGATCATGGTTCACCACAGTCTCGACCTCCTGGCCTCAGGGAATCCTCTCGCCTCAGTCTCCCAAATAGCTAGGACTGCAGGGGCGTGCCACCACGCCTAATTTTTTAATTATTTGTAGAGACGAGGTCTCACTATGTTGCCCAGGCTCATCTGGAACTCCTGGACTCAAGCGATCCTTCTGCCTCAGCCTTCTGAGTAACTGGGTCTACAGACGCGCACCACCACGCCCAGTTAATTTTTTTATTTTTATTTTTTTTTACAGCAGAGATGAGGTCTCGCTATGTTGCCGGGGCTGGTCTCGCACTCCCGGGCTCAAGCGATCCTCCAGCCTCGGCCTCCCAATGTGCTGGGATTACAGGCGTGAGCCACCGCGCCCCGCCCAAGTCTCTCCTAATAACTTTCAATTACATGGAGAAGAAAGGTTTGGTCTGGTGTTAGCCTGTCTAAATTCCTGTAAACCTTCCAGGATCCCCCCAGACAGAACTTTCACTGCCCCTCTGCCCCAGCTCTGGTGACAGAAAGTTGAGTGATTAGGTCCGGGCGTGTGTAGGGGGGTGGGTGGGGTGACAACGCCCGTACCGAACCTCGAGGGCGGTCGGCACGAGCACCCGCCTAACCCAAGTTGGCCTCGGGAATGAATAAATCTACGGGGGCCGGTCCGCGCCTGCGCGCGGAAGGGGCGTGGCCCGGAGTAGGGGCGTGGCCGGGGGGCACGAACCGGCAGCGGCGCGCGCAGAC